TGTGCTTCTCATGTGCTGTTTTTCAATATATTCTTATTATATAATATCTAATCTTAAATAAGAGAAAAACTTAGAAGCTCAAGGTATTTTTAAAAATCTGTATATACTGTTCAAGGCTGTAGGGAACCTAGGGGAAAAAACCCTGAAGACGTATTCTTTGGATGAGAGACGTAAGGAAGTGTGTCTCGCTGCGGGAAACGGTCTTTGCAGAGGCCGGCAGGGTGTGTGAGTTTCACCCTGATTTCTGTGCTCCCAGAACATGCTGGTGGAAATCGAGCAGAAGGTGGCGGCCCTGTCGGAGCTCTCTGTCCACAATGACAACCTGCTGCTGGAGGGCAAGGCCCACACGAAGGACGAGGCCGAGCAACTGGCCATGAAGCTGAGGACCCTGAAGGGGAGTCTCCTGGAGCTTCAGAGAGCCCTGCACGACAAGCAGCTGAACATCCAGGTGAGGCCCCAGCCCCCTGATAGTGAGGCGATGCTGCCAGGACCGCCAGGGCCTTGTGTGTGGCTGGCATGCCGTTTCTGAGCCCGTCGCAGCTGAACATCCAGGTGAGGCCCCAGCCCCCCGATAGCGAGGCGATGCTGCCAGGACCGCCGGGTCCTTGTGCGTTTCTGAGCCCGTCCATATAAAGCAGCGGTTCTCAACCTGTGGGTCGCGACCATCGGACTACCCTCTGCCATAGAAGGGCCCACACCAGTCTCAGCCCTATTACACTCTAGCACAATGGTAGTTGCGGGCATTTTCCTACTCATCCGATTTTATCCTATTATAGAAAACAATAAAATAGTTCAAACCGCAACATGAGGAACTGTATTAAAGGATCGCGGCATCAGGAAGGTTGAGAACCATTGAAGGAAAAGGTGGGGAATGATACATACTTATGTACCTACCTGCATTACACAAACTTTGGCATAGATTTTCAAATAGGTTTTATAAGGACAGTTTGAATCTGTAGACCTGAAGGTTGCAGTGTAGGAAAAGAAAGAAATAGCAAAATCTAGCAAAGACCCAATTTAAAAAGATGTAAATGTGGTTCGTAAATCAAGGTATCCTATAACATTTGCACATTTTTCTTTTATTCCTCCTACATTCTATGGGGAATGATACATACTTATGTACCTACCTGCATTACACAAACTTTGGCATAGATTTTCAAATAGGTTTTATAAGGACAGTTTGAATCTGTAGACCTGAAGGTTGCAGTGTAGGAAAAGAAAGAAATAGCAAAATCTAGCAAAGACCCAATTTAAAAAAATGTAAACGTGGTTCATAAATCAAGGTATCCTATAACATTTTCACATTTTTCTTTTTCTTTTTTTTAAATATATTTTATTGATTTTTCACAGAGAGAAAAGGAGAGAGATAGAGAGCCAGAAACATCGATGAGAGAGAAACATTGACCAGCTGCCTCCTGCACATCTCCCACTGGGGATGTGCCCGCAAACCAGGTACATGCCCTTGACCGGAATCGAACCTGGGACCTTTCAGTCCGCAGGCCGACGCTCTATCCACTGAGCCAAACCGGTT